CACTCCAGTCCAGCCAACTCCAACCCATTCCAGTCAAGTGCAGTGCAATCCAGCCCATTCAAGTAGAGTCCAGTCCAGTCCAGTCCAGTCCAGTCCAGTCCTGTTCAGTTCAGTCCAGACCAGTCCAGTCCAGTCCAGCCCAGTCCGGTCCAGTCCAGTTCAGACTAGTCCAGTCCAGTCCAGTCCATTCGAGTGCAGTCCAGCATAGTCCAGTCCAACCCAGTCAAGTCCAGTCTAATCCAGTACATTCCAGCCCATTCCAGTCCAGTCCAGTCCAGGCCAGTCCAGTCGAGTCCAGTCCAGTCCAGTCCAGTCCCGTCCAGTCCAGTCCAGTCCAGTCCAGTATATTCCAAGAAGGTGCAGTCCAGTTTAGTCCAGTTCAGTCCAGTCCAATCCAGTCCAGTTCAGTTTAGTCCAGTCCAGTCCAGTGCATTCCAGCCTAGTCCAATCCAATACACTCCAGTCCAGTCCAGTCCAGTCCAAACAAGTCCAGTCCAGTACAGTGCACTCCAGTCCACTTCAGTCCAGTCCAGTCCAGTTTAGTCCAGTTCAGTTTAGTCCCGTCCAGTCCAGAGCAGTCCAGCCAAGTCCAATCCAGTCCACTCCAGTCCAGGCCGGTCCAATCCAACCCATTCCAGTCCAGTCCAGTACAGTCCAGTCCATTTCATTCCAGTCGCATTTAGTACAGTCAAGTCCAGTCCAGTCCAGTCCAGTCCTGTCCAGTCCAGTCCTGTCCTGTCCAGTCCATTCCAGTCCAGCCCAGTCGAGTGCAGTCCAGTCCAGTCCAGTTAAGTCCAGTCCAGTCCAGTGCAGTGCAGTCCAAACCAGTCATTTCCAGTCCAGTCCAGTCCAGTCCAGTCCAGTCCAGTCCAGTACAGTCCAGTACAGTTAAAATCCTTTCCAGTCCACTCCATTCCTGTCCAGTCCAGTCCAGTTCCGTCCAGTCCAGTCCATTCCAGTCTGGTCCAGTCCAGTCCAGTCCAGTCCAGTCTGGTGCAGTCCAGTCCAGTCAAGTCCAGTACTGTCGAGTCCAGTCGAGTGCAATCCACTCCTGTCCAGTTTAGTCCAGTCCAGCACAATGCAGTCTAGTACCAACCAGTCCAGTCCAGTGCAATCCATTGCAGTCCAGTCCAGTCCAGTCCAATCCGGTCCAGTCCAGTCCCGGCCAGTCCATTCCAGTCGAGTGCAGTCCAGTCCATTCCAGTCCAGTCGGATTCAGTACAGTCAATTAAAGTCAAGAACAGTCCAGTCAAGTCCAGTCAAGACCACTCCAGTCCAGCCAACTCCAACCCATTCCAGTCAAGTGCAGTGCAATCCAG